AGCTCAAGGCTAGCGCTCTACCACTTGAGCCACAGCGCCACTTCCGGCTTTTTTCTTTTTGCTTATGTGGTGCTGAGGAATCGAACTCAGGGCCTCATGCATGCAAGGCAAGCACTCTACCACTGAGCCACCTTCCCAGCCCCTGTGATCAGTGTTTTTGAGTTTAATCTTTTCTAAATTATCATCTCCATTTAGTCATTCATTCATTCATTCGTTCAATATAGATTTATGGGATAACTTGTGCTATGTCAGGTTGTGAATATGAATGTACTTGACACACCCTGACCTTGTTTTTGTTTTGTTCTGTTTTGAAATCTTGGGAAGACATAAATATATCTCAGTGAGCCCTATTATTTTTTAATTCACTATGATAATGTAATATATAGTTGAGTGAATTTAATTCTAGTACTATCCCTCAGAAACGTTAATGATAGCAGATTAGATAGTAGAAAAAAAATCATCTTTTTATTTGTAGTCTGTTTCTCTGAAATCAGCTGATAGCTAATATTTTTAGCAATTAAATAAAATTCCTCATAGGGGGCCAGTGGCTCACGCCTGTCATCCCAGCTACTCAGGAGGCTGAGATCTGAGGATCACAGTTCAAAGCCAGCCTGGGCAGGAAAGTCCGTGAGACTCTTATCTCCAATTAACTACCAGAAAACCAGAGGTGGCATTATAGCTTAAGTGGTAGAATGCTAGCCTTGAATTGAATTGCTTGAGGGACAGGGTCCAGGCCCAGAGTTCAAGCCCCATGACTGACAAAAAAAAAAAATCCTTTCTTGAGTGTATCCTCAGAATGTGAGAGCTAAAGTCAAACCCCAAAATCAGTTCTTTCTTCTTTCTAGTGTATTCTGAGAGTCTATTTCCCACAATGTAAGTCTATTTTCCATGATGTAGATTCCTTATCTCTCTTTCTCTCTGTTTTTTCTTTTTTGCCAGTCCTGGGGCTTGAACTCTGGACCTGGGCTCTGTCCCAGAGCCTTTGTGCTCAAGGCTAGCGCTCTACCACTTGCACTACAGTTCCATTCAGGCTTTTTGGTGGTTCATTGGAGATAAGAGTCTCACAGACTTTCCTGCCCTGGGCTGCCTTCGAACCATGATCCTCAGATCTCAGCCTCCTGAGTAGCTGGGATGACAGGTGTGAGCCACCGGCTCCCGCTGAGATTCTTTTATCTTTGCATGTCACACCTTCAACAAATATCACAGTGCTGAGAAATTCCTGTCCTATCAAGTTTCATCTCTGCGTCCCGGACCCTCATTTTCTACCAATCCTCTTCAGAGTGTGGTCTGGGGACCAAATGCTGCCGGAGTTTGTGTACGAGAATCTGGAAGCTGCATTTCCCCAGCACGGCTGGTGTCAGCTGACAACTGCCTTTGCTAGAAAAGACTTGCTGATGAAGGCAGCACTTCTGATTTCTCTTCTGATTAAGCTCCCCGCCTCCCGGCAGCCTGGCGCTTTGATTAGCACTGATAATGGAGTCCAGCCCTTGACAGCCTTGGGCTCAGAGTCTGGCTGGCTGGCTGGCTGGCTGGGTGGATGGTAGATGGGTGGG